GGGCACAAGTGACACGGGTTACGCGGGCACAGGTGACAGGTCTACCCATGGAGGCTGCTGTGCTGGTTTCTGTCTGAAGCATCGACCCCCAGGTGCAAAACAAGCTTCTGTAGGATGCAACGGGAAAGCCCTGCACCTGTCTTCATGTGGCTTCAGCTTCGGCTGCTTTTCGGGTGATTTCGGTCAAGAGCAATCCCCACCCAAGCTCGGAAGGTTCGCGGCAGAAGCTGTCCAAAAACACTCCCAGACCTCTAAGCGCTTGTTTTTGTAGGCACTGGCCCCAAACAGCGGAACACAGGCCTCAAACGCAAGGCCTGAGTACCACACCCATGCCTCTGGAGCCGCCATCCTTTGATCTCAAAGAAAGCCGCCAGGGAGGTTGGTACTAAATTCGGGTCACCAGGCATCTGCACATGCACGTCCACATCGCTACACCACACTGCGCTACACCACCACCACCATAACAAACGAGATTAGACCAGACCGGCCTCGACTAGTCAGTGTAGGCTAGACTGATCCAAACTATAGTATCCTATCTCTGTTGCAAGATCCGCATGGTCGTATGGTCTCTCAGCAGCCCACTCTTCGGACTACGTTGGATGCTTTGGCTTGAGAGGAGCTTATTCTTACATGACCTTCAGCCAACTCTTGCTCAAGGGCTCGGAGGGGTCGTCTGTAGCAAAGGCCGCGGTCTTGTGAGCTGACAAACATCTGACATGCTTTGCGTTTCGGACCTGCCACTTGTTCGTTCCTTAGTTTGGCTCTTAAACACGAGACAGAACCACGCGGCTCTGACTACACACATCTGAAAGCATCTGTATTGTATGGATCCTCGACCTCCAGGTCTGCAAATTCGAACCTTCACATGCATGTCGCGCCCCGATGTGATCTTCGTGTCATGGGTGTGCAGTCATGACTGGGCTGGGTGGAGGATGACATACTGTACACCATTCTTTTCGGCCTCCCGATCATGTCGTGAGCCCTCGTGAGGCCCATGCAGCGAAGCAAATCGTTCCGGGCAACCTTGAAGCCCCGAACCTAGGACTCCCCGCTGCATAGGCACCTTGCCAGGTGCAACTCGCATGGGCCAAACCCAGCAGGCTGAGGGCTGAGCCTTATTTTTGAAGATGGAAAGCTCCTGTCTGTGAGTGCACCATGAGGGAGTCTAGCTAAGTACATGCCGGGTCCAGGATTTAGTCAACCATGTGCCCGTGTTTCGACATCTTCCGATCCAGTGTGCTTCTGACTTTCAAGGGTCGGGTGATCCAGGGATGCACCAGCGACCCTGCATTGTCAATCGGTCTTCGGAAGGGTTCATGCAACTCTCAGTGTTGACAAGTCTGCCAGATATTCAAGAGTCGAAAGACACTCTGATTCATGAAAGCGAAAAATTGAGCAGCAGCAAGTCAAGTTGCAATCACACTAACCTGACCAAAATGCTAAACCTGAGTCGGTCTCTGGCCTTCACAGCTCCCACTTCTTCGAATAGAGCACTGAGTTGTGCCTGGCCGTGTTCAGCTGCAGTCACTTGCTGATGCATACTGGGGGTGAACATTACGCCCAGGGCAGCTAACCACCCGGAGCACACCATTTCGATGAGTGCGACCACGCAAAGACCGATCTCAAGACAATGCGACAAAGTCTTGCGCCTATGCATCACCCATTGTGGCACAAAGCCGGTGGCTAAGGGGATGCTTGTTAATCTGTGTGTGTTGTGCACCTTGAAAAAATCCCATGGCACTGCCATGCCAAGTAAAGCCGCCGGCGAACGAAATCGAGAATGCAAGCAACATCTGGGCAAAGTGTGCTGCAGCATGCATTCCTACGCAGCATGCCCCAACTATATGCTGAGCTACTGTTGGAGTATTCCAGTGCCGTACTACTGTCCGTGCTAGCATGAAGACTGCTCCGCAAACCGGCGGAACCATGACCACTTACGGTTACAAGCACACGCACGTTTTGGCTCTACGAAAGCTGTACGTGTCTCTGAAACTTGAAACCTCATTGATCTCAGCCAGCTCTTCAGCGATACATAGAAGTAATATAGTATATAATATAATACAATATAACATAATATAATATTTTTTTCTTAGAAATGCAGCGGCCTCCTCGACATCGAAGGGCACATTGCTAAAAAACACCTCGGAGGGACTGGCTGCGTGGCGAGTCGACCTCCTGGGTTTGGTCGACGGCTTTGTTTGAGGCTCTGGCGAGGCTTATGCTTAGGTTACGTTTCACGCCAGGGTTTAGGGTTTAGGGTTTGGGGTTTAGGGTTTAGGGTTTAGGTCATCATGCTCGGCATTCGGCAAATTCGTGTTGTGGCAGTTGCTGAGGGGACTCTCGTGCATTGCTGCACAATAGATTCGCTGCCCGGAGGGAGCAAAAGCTGCAAAGAAGCTTGGCTCAGTCTTGCCGGATATTAAAGACAGTGTCCCAACACATTAACCTCCAAGTGCTCCCTAACCCCCTAAACTCTAATTCCTAACCCCTAAACCCCCGTAACACATTCAACTCCAAGGGGTCTCTCAAACACTGAGCCGCCCAGCCTCTGTAAACTCCCGAGGGCCAAACGCGAGAGGACCCAGAGGAAGGTCCCACTGCAGGGCCTTGCAGACTTCAGCTGATCGCGCTTGGGATTTTAGGCAAAGGCGGCCTTGGGCTTATATTTATATTTGTGTATATATATATATAATATACATATACATGGAGAGAGAGAGTATATGTATATATATATATATGATATGTTTATGTGTATATATATATGTATACACACATACATATGCATATACATACATACTTATTCATATTTATGCATATTTAAATTTTTTTAATTTGTCACTTATACGGTGTCTCTTTTGCAAGGCACTTGAGTGCCGCATGGCTCGACCCTGCGGGGTTCCGGTGCACAGCCGCTATCTAATCTTGAAGGGTCAGTGGGTTCGGGAGGGGCTATGTGACGGCATCTGAACTCAGCGGGCTGTGCCAAACAATGTGAATCCAATACTTGTTCTCAATGCCGACCCTGCTCTCTGAAAAAACTTGCCCTAAACGCTAAAGCCTTACGACCGCTGAACTCTCACACCCTCCACTTGGCCCAGACCGGAATGGGCCTTTAGTGTCCTCGGCAATCCAAATAGCTCTCCCCCCGACCTGCAAGACAATGGCTTTGGGGACTTGCGGATTTTGAAGTTTGCCGAGTCCTAGTATTGAGAACCGTACTATTCGGGCCTAAGTTGCAAAACGGGGCTCCTTTTCTGAAACGCCCAACAGTTGCTGCGGTTTCGGGTGAAGGGGGGGGATGTCGGGCATTAGGCAATAGCTAGCCCTTCTGTGTCACTCACAACTCAGACCGGATTCGCAACTCGGAAATGAACAGGAAAATAAACTAACACTGTAAATGCTCTTCACCTAACGAACAACCCCGTGCATGAAGTCTCAAGACGTGCCATCTATGTAGTGTTGGCATCTCGGGACCTATCGGACCTATCGCAACATCAACACCTGGGTTCGTAACTCAAGCGATGCAAGCTCGGGGGCTTCCCTGAAATGTAGGGGCCCTAGTAATGAGAATCGGGTTTTGGGGTGGGTTTTGGGGTATATATTACACTATAGCTAAAAAAGAAACGGAAACTCCAAAAATAGTGTTGGTAATTCTTTAGGCCCCTCTGTTAGGCTGCTTCGGGAAGCAGCCTGAGAAGCTCAAGCACCCCCGACCAGACCTATGGCTTTAGGGTTTCGGGTTGACGATCTGGGGCCCAAGCTTTAGCTGCTGCTGCTACTGCTGCTACTACTGCTACTACTACTACTACTACTACTAATACTAGTACTAGTACTGGTACTAGTACTAGTACTAGTACGAGTACTAGTACTAGTACTACTAGCCGAAATGCAACACGAGGGCTGCATGCACTTGAAGTTCAGGGTCACTGAAAGACCAGAAGGCATCGGAGAAAGCTTCAACAGAGAGCCGATGAAGAAACGAAAACGTCAGCTGGTGACAATCCCGCTCTTTTTCATCGAAAAGTCTTCACGGGAGCTTTCTGCAGCATAACGGTCGGTCAACGGAAGCCCGTGGCAAAGCCTTGAACTTGAATTCTGTGGCCCCCTACATCTCGGTCCCGGAGTGCTTGGATCGCAGCGGCTGCCATGGAAGGCACCTGGAAGGTGCAGTGTCCTCGGAAGGCGGCTGCAAGGCTTCTAAAGTTCTCAGTTTTCTTGGGTTTAGGTTTTAGGGAGCAGTTTTCAAGAGTAAGGTGCAAACGGAGCTTGAAGATACAGTACTTGCCAGACTTGCCATGCACAACGCTTCAAAACCAAAACACTACAAAGTCAACGGCTCTCCAAGACTACGGGAGTCTTAACCAATCATCAGAGTGCGAGCCAACAAAGAACGAAGAGGGCTGAGGGTTTCAGCTTTACGTGCTCACATTCAGGCGCGTCAAATGAGGTTCACGGTTGGGCCTTCGGGAGGCTGCGGGCAGGAACAGTCCATACCCACACTGCCAGTGCCCATCACCGGTCTCTGAAACCAAACCCCATGCAACATTCGCCTTCAGCCTCTCTTCAGCATCATCGTGGTCAGTAAGAAAATGAGCTCAGCCCACCATCTTGAAGGACATGTGCCAATTTGAGAACTTCTGCTTCTCGACTTGATGGTCCTCAGTCCCTCAAGAGTACCTCCTCGGTTGCACCAACAGTTGGGGACGTCTCTGAGTATATACCTTGGTCCCTCAGAAAATGCCGGAGCCCTAGGCCTTGGCGCAGGCTGCTCCGTGCCGGGGCTCGCACCCATCCCCCGCGAGCTGCCATCCTGGTCCCGAGCTTCGGGTTCAGGCTTGTTGAAGTTGGCTACCTGGCATGCTTCTGTTGTCGTGCAGCGCGTCAAGCTCTGAGAAACTTCGTGCATCAGTTTGTAATGGCTCAGGGCCTCTATGACGAAGAGGTTACATAATTCAGTTCTGATTCTGGGCTCGGGGCTTCTAGGTTTATTTTTTGTTGAAGCCCTTTCCTTCTTGTGCGAGTCGGAATACCGCTATGATGGAGGCTTATAGGCTTAAAGGCTTAGGGTGTGCAGTGTGCTTGTCCGGAGGGTTTTCTTAACTTGGACTGGAATTTCCTCCAGCTGGTCTGAATCGGGGATCTCTAGGGCGTCAGCAGTGAAGCCTCGGGCTGAGTCGCGCGAGCTGCAAAACAAAACCCGACCCTGTTTTAGCAAGTCCAAACCTATCAATCTCAAAGGCGTGGGTTGTTGCTGACCCGGGCGCCAACAAGTTGGGAAAAGCTTTCTCATCCGGACACTTCTCCGAATCTTCATCCGAAGTCCATGGGCTCGACAAGCACAATGACGAGAGGTCCCTGAGTCTGTACCTCAAAAGAAAACAACGGCAAGACCTCGCAAGATCCCTCAAGGAAGCACCCCTCTTATCCGGCCTCGCTCTTTTTCATGAGGCTGAGCTCCTGAGGATTCCCAGGGCAGTCGACGTCTCAGTGAACAAAAAAAGCTGCGTTAAAAACGCATGATGCTGTGAACGAGCATTTCGGTGTCGGCCGAACAAGGGCATGCGACTGAATTACCGCAAGTCCCCAAGCGTTGGAGCAAGCTGTGCCTTTCTGAGCGAAGTGCCAAGCATAGTAAAGTAGTGATATCGTGTGTGGCGGAGGGTTTGTTGAAGTCTTTTCCAGATGGCACGCTAGCATCAAACAATGTGGGCATGCCTCAGCCTGCCCCCTGAAAGTAGACGCCTTCCTCGAGATGGGGTTTGCGACGCCTAACAGACCTAACAAACATTGGAGTTTTTTTGGGGGAGCTTCCAGTCGAATCCCCCGAATTCCTCCCTTCCAACGGGGCATGAAAGAGAGAGTCGACCCGAAGAGGGCCTTGACGACCCCGACCTCCTCAAAGAGCATCCGCAGCTGGTCCTGTGAGGGGGCGTCACTCGTTCCTGAACAGCATGATCCGTAATATGATGACCCCCAAAACCGGGACCTCTCCCAATCATTTCGGAGTCTTGACTTCCAAGAAGGTCTACCACCATTGTGGGGCCTCGTCGACATCGAATGGGACGTTGCTAAAGAACACCTGGGCTCTTTGCTTTCTCTTCCCTCTACCACAAGCGAGGTATGCTTGACTCCATCTGACCATGCCTAGCCTGCAAGGACATCATCCCACCCGACCGTTCTTGCCCTGATTTAGACAATAACCAAGTCGAGCAAGCAAGAGAAATCCAAAGCAAGCTAATTGGGTCAACAGTCTCCTGCAGAGAGCTGCTCCCAACCGCAGCAACGGCAACCGTGCCCCATTTTCTGTCAGCTCTCTCTCACTGAGGTGGGCATGGCGAGGCGATACACATGATGGGCGATTCCGTTCTTGTTGCCTTTGCGGCTGAGGACTGCGCAGTGAAGGCCGTGCGCAGCCGTCAGACCATTCTGGACTGGCGGAGCCAAGTGGCGGCTTCTTGCGAAGACTCCTCAGCGACTTCACGCAGGCCCGGGCCCTGCTGGGTTTTTTGACGAGGCAGGCCCGGGCCCCGGGACGGCAGCCTTGGGGTCCTTGGAATCCGAGTCCGTCGACTCGTCCGTGGATGTGTAGTCCGAGTCCGCGGAGCTGCTGCGACTGTAGCTGCGGCTGCTGCGACTGCGGCTGTGACTCCGACTGCGACTGCCCCAGTGCTTCTCCTGGCTCTGCTTCTCGACCGTGGAAATGAGAATGGAAGGAGAGGATTCGGAAGCTGTACTACATGAGTCGTCGAGCTCACTCCTGTAACTGTGTACGAACAAAGCACGGATCTGGTCCTCCAAGGTCTTGACATGAGGTTGGTCTTTCGAGGCCGCTTTCGGGGTGCCGGCATCTCTATCATCTGACGGGGCGGGTTTCTCTTGCTCAGGTCCTGCTTCTGGTCGCTGTCGGCGATCAGGATCGTTGGCCTCAGCAGTTTGCTTTGAACTCCAGGCTCCTTCGCCACGGGAGTCCGGCTTGCTGCGGCTTTTTGAGACGCCGGTCCTTCTGGGGCTGCCACTGCTGCGGCTCCTGCCAGGCGCATCTTTGCGAGCACTGCTCGAATCTGGATGTTCACGAGCTGGGTCCTCTTTCTGCCTGGAGCCAGGGCTCTTGCTGCGTGCTCGCAGAGCTCTGGGGTTCGGAAGCTCTGGAGCACACGTCCAGATGCCACCCGGAGTTGTGTCTGGACGGGAAGCTCTCAGCCAGGGCTCGGCGTTGTGCCCGGTCCAGCTCTTCTTGCGTTTAGCGCCACGGCTGGCTTGTGGAGGGGCAGCGGACATTGGAGCCTCTGGAGCGACAAACTCCGCAAGCACCGCATCTGCAGGGGCTTCTTTCTTTTCGCAAAGGTCGCCATGAGCGAGACTCTTTCCTTTCTCGCTCCCAACACTGTAGTGGTAGTGGCACCTCTTGCAGCAGAAGCTTCCCATCTTTGCCGCATTTGAGTGCACCAGAAAGTCGCATGCAGGATTGGTGCATCGCTTCGGGCGCGGACCGGGCATGGCAAGAGCAATGGAAAGGCTTCGCTTGGGTCAGCTGCCGTTGATGTTGATCTTTGTGACTCTGGGCTCGTTGTGAGGCTTGGGGTCTCTGCGATGGGGCTACGAATTTCGGGTTAAGATGAGATCAAGTTTGGATTTGGGGCCCCATGATGATACGACCCCAACACCGTCTCGAATGATAACTTCAAAATCTGGGCCTGCTTGGAATCCGAAAAGGCAGAGTCGTTTGCCCAAATGGTGCAGCCAGCTTCGTTTTGTTGACCTGACACTGGGAAGACTTGCAAGGACCCATGCTGTGCGACCCCGAGCCCTGGCAAGCGAGTGGAAGGCTCCGGCCCGCGATGATGTCGTTTGAACAGGCGGCGGCAAGCCTCACAGTCCCAGCAAGGACAAAAGCACTACAAAGCAAGTTCATGGCAGTGGATCTCTGTCTTGCGAGTTTCGAAAACAAACATAGGCGGCGATGAGGCGGCTTGGCATTACGACATTTCGATCCACCAAAGATAACAACAACCCTCTTTAGCCTAACATCCGTTGCAGTCCGCCTTTTGCGGGGTCCGCGCTGCCCTTGTGAGTGGACACCCACATCTTCCTGCTGAGGCTGGGGCTTGGATGCAATTCAATTAACCCTAAACCCTTGCCACAGCAAGTCTGCGAGTCCTTGCCCATCAAACCTAGGAGTTCGAAAAACTGGAAATTAACTGGGCTCTTGTTAGGGGATTTGATTTAAGTTACCATAATAGTAAAGAGAGCATCTTATTTACTATAAAACAAGAACCCAGTAAACACACAGCACAGCCGGACCACCGTAGGGACTCTGGGACCGGCTTGACCACGGACTGGGGGGGGGAGGGGGGAGGGATGCAAGCCACCACCACTCATGCTTATCATGCGCGTGTTTTTTGCGGAGAAGAAGCGGCTCCAAACTTCCCTTGTGCATTTTAGGGTTTAGGGTTTATGGAGCAAGGCAGCAAAAAGGGCTTCGGCGAGGCTTGTGTCAAGGCGCTTTGCAAAGGGGCGCCGTTTTTGAAGCATCAATGCTATTGGGCTGCTTCAAAGGAGCTAGGGCTCTGGAAACCAACCCCTCCAGGTTGTTCGGCCCTCAGCTTTAAGTAGCAATTCAACAATCTAATGTAGGGGCCTTCATAATTAGAATCAGGTTTTGGGGTATATTCTACTATAGTTATAAGAAGGCCCCTAAGTTAACGGAGGCCCTGTTGTCCTACAGTCTCTCCTGCAACCTGGAGTCTGCACAATCTCTCCGAGCTCTGAGACTCAGCGTCCCTAGCCCTGGCAAAAGAAAATTCACGACTGGCCCCTACAAGGACAAGAGACATGTTTTAATAGAAACAGGTAATCTACAATGGCCAGAGCAATAGTTAATAACGATAACGACAGCAGCCCGATGGAAATAAGACTGAAATAAGTGATGACCTCCAAAACCATTGGCCCCATGCACTGGCATGGCAGGACATGCATCATCCATACTTGCCAGAAGCAGTTAGTCGTGGGAACATCAAACGTCGAACGCAGTTCGGCATATATGTGAGATACGATGCGCGCCATGCTCACGCATCTGGATCGCGCCTGTCGTTGACCTCCTCGTCTCGGAGGTTTTGCACCGCCCACTGGACGCTCTCGGGATCCACAAAGGTGATGACCCTGCTAGGGCGACTGTCTGCTCGTAGTCTATGGGCTTGATGCCATACCGGAGTTCATGTGGGGCCCTCCCACCCTCATCCCTAAACCTGGTACTAGTACCCATGCAGTACTCAACAGCGATTTCAGGCCCCGCTCAGGGTGCGACCCCATCCCACGGGACTCTCCGGTCGGCTTCTTGAAGATTCGCACGGCCTGGGACTTGGAACTTCAACCAAGGGTTTCGGGAGCTTATGGGGCTTCCACGGATTTAAGGGGACGTGGCTTCACAGAAGAGTTTGGAGTTTGCTGCGGCTAGAGGAATTTCGAAGACGAAGTATCAACCAACATCAAAAGGGAAACGGAAAGCAGAGTTTGCACATCTCGCACCTACTGCAACCACGTGGCCTCTACTGTTCCGGCACGCTCAAAGACCTCGCGGCCATCAGGAAGGAACGACACATGTAGTGTAGTGTCAATCTTTGAAAACCATGTCTGCCTAGTCTATCGGGGCTGTGGGAAGGCGTCCAATTTAGCATTCGGGCATTTACAGTTGCAAGGACAAGGGCTTTGGCTTTCGGCTGATGGGACTCGTGTTGAGTCGGCAACAAGCCAGGTGAGGATTCTGATTCTGTGGGGCTGGGTGCAGCGCGCGGGTTCGGCGGATGGTTCGGATGCTCATCGAAACTGGAAGAAAGCTATGCCACCCTGTAGTTGGGGAGATATCGTTGAGTGTTCGGTCCACTGCAGAGCTTCTGGGTTGAAGGGTATGTTGAAATAGGGCACAATTATGGTCCTCGTCCAGCATATAGGATGAAGCTTCGCACGACATGTGTGGCTGAAGCCCCGACCCCAAAGTCACGTGCTTCCCGAACAAATGGCCAACTGCGAGTCTTGACAAACATGCCTGCAGCTCACGAATGTCTTCTGTCACAGTGCCCCACCTCCTCTCTTACAAGGCCGGGACTATGACGAGGCTCATGAACGTGACGTGCTGCAAGGAAACCAGACATTCAACCGTTAAAGGAATACTTTTGCCACTCCGGGAGGTAATTATTATAAGGCCCCTATAGTGAACAGTGCCCAAGACCTGCCAAGCTGAAGACCTCAGAATCTCGACGGCTTCGAAGCCTTTAAGCACCCAGCACCCAACAGATCTAACCTCGAAGTAATCCGAAAGGCAAGGACCGAAATGCCGGCTCTGAAAGACACAAACGCGAAGATGAGCCTCTCTTAGGGTCTCCTCAGTAGTGCCTCAAAAAACAGCTGGAAGTTTGGCAGCGCGGCGGTGATGATCGATTAGGATTCGTAGATTTTGGCAAGATTACCAGGCACTGCAAAACACAACTGCTGTAGCTCTACCTGATGACAAGGCTCTGCAGCTGGCTGCAGGGACCCTGCAGCTTGCGCAAGTGAGGATAGATGCTAGATGAGGTAGCCCGCTTTCGCTAATGTTGAAGACGACGGAAGGCATGCCCACGCGCAGCCAGACCCGCACACACTCAAGCACGACGTCGACTTGCAGCCAACGACACAACGAGCAAGTAACCCCCGGACTCCTCGCAGCCCCTGTAGCCTCAACCACACCCTTGGGCCCAAGGAGCTGTAAGGCACATTGCTGAAGAACACCTCTCGAGGCATCTGGGCGGGCAGAGGCCTGGGCCCGAAAGAGTCGAAGAAAGTTGCACTAGCTGGTAACACTATGTAACTTTGCAGCGAGCGATGGTTAGACTCGCAAGATTCTACAGACAGCATGCACGGTTTTGCTGCCAGCAATAAGACTTCTGAGTGATGGCTGCATACATCAGCTTCCCCTTTTGATCCCTCGAAGCTGTACGACATCCCCGGACTCGACGAGTGCAGGTATATCCGTATATCCGAATATCGCCACCTTGGCAAACCCTTGTTCGTCTTAGTCCGAATTCCGTGAAGGGTGCATACCACACAAGTCTGCCAAGCACACTGTAGAAGCCTTCATTAAAGGCCTCTTCGTGCCCCGCTGCTGAGGAAAGGCGCCCTGCCAGTATTTGCTGACAAAAACACAATTCACAGTTGCACTGGGACAAAAACGCTTCAGCACTCTTACGGTCTTTAAGGCGTCTAGAGAAGGATTCCTGACGTTGGGGTATGTCTTTCATGTGCCGCATGTCGTGGTCGCCAGCCTGAGCATAGCAGCAGTTCGTTGTGGACTCTCTACACATCGAACCGTGGGGTTCCAGACCCCGTCCGTGGCCGAAGCGCAATTCTTGCAGGGTTGGTACCCCGAGCGCCATTCAGTGGCATCGCTTCGAGCGGTCTGCTTTGGCGCCCTGCCGGCTTTGGTGGGCTGCCTTCGTTTCGTGTCTTCGAGTTCGATGCGAGTGATAATCCATTGCGTTAATAATGACATAAGCTTGGCAAACTCATTATACAGTAATAGTTATAAGTTATGACATTCTGGAGCACAACATCGCATTCCGCACCATCAAACTACCGACTGCTCTCTTTGAGGTGCCGCTTGCCTGAAGCGCCATGGCAAACGAGAAAAGTCAGCTAAAGCATAAACCCAGTGATCATCTAAATCTCGAAAGACACGTGCTGCACACCGGGCCCTGCGTTGTGACCCCTACAGCCAAACTTGGGTTGCTAGCTTCTGACCCATGCGGCTTGGCTCCACTGGCTCAGAGGTGGAGTCGTTCGTGGTCGAACTGGTAGAGAGCTTAGCTGGAATAAAGCTTTTCGACACGAACCTGTGATCACTAGACTATGCTCTAGCATGAACCAAGTGCATATTCTTCGCAGGTCTGCAATCGCTAACCTTGAGCCTCAGGAAATCGAAATTTGCTTACAACATCAAAGGCACGACCCCTCATGAGATTTGGCCGCTGCAAGCCTGCTGTTGTGCGATGTGGCGAGAATGGCCTGTTCGGACTGGTAGCTGGTACCAACATGTACCAACAGCCTGGGGTGTAAAGCAACCTGCTGAACTGAAACCTGCCGTGCATTGGTACCAGTGGCAAACTCTAGGTTTCACTTCGATGGAGATTTGGTTTAGGTATGGTTTAGACTTGGTGGTCCCACGTCTTTTGCGCGATGCAGCTGATCGGAGTCAATCGGCCAGCTGGACGTTGCGCACCTGCGAAGAGGCCAAGAAATTGCTGCGAGATGACTCCTGCGCTTGAGCAAATGCTCAGGACCAAACCATTCCGTTAAGAAAATTCAACCACCAGAAGCCAAGCCTGGACAGGAACGGAAGAACAGCAGTAACTCCTTTTCTGCAAGCGGGCGCCGAACGGCCAAATGCCCAATGCTTGGCTTGGATTTGCCAGCAGGCATGAGGGATTCTTGCTAATGAGATTTGGAGGAGGACGTCGCAGTCGGACAACAGGAGCATGACACACCATGCTAACAATGCTAACTATGAAACTTCTGCGAGCTCTTCATGAGCTGCGGCAGGGAGGTCTTTAGGCAAAGGCACGTTAACCTGCGAATCTACGGAGGGGCACACTTGCAAAGCAGTCGTCGCGGGATGTCTGAGCCCTCGTTTGCAAAATTTTACCTTTCATGGCCGATATTAAAACTGAAAAAGAGCTGCCGGAAACGAGCTTGACATGGCTTGGCTGTTCATTAGCATTCGTGGGCTTCACGGACTACGTTAACTTTTGAAGCCAAGCTTCCCCATGGGGTACAACTGAGGTGCGACACCAAACACCAACGGTTCACCAATCGTGATGGAAAGCCGGGATGACAAACTTTACACTTTAGTTCTGAGTCGACCAAATCAGAGCTGCCATGCCCTGAGTCTTGATGGTTGAGGGCCTCAGGCCTGCAATGTAAGGATGGGATCGAGCACTTTTGTTTCTTGAGTCCAGAACCTCGCTCCGTAAATGTGCAAATCCAAAAATTCTGGATGTCGGACATCATCGCAATGCGCAAGTAAACGAATTTCCTGTGACATCCTGGAGTATCTGCCGGCTTTTCTTCCAGGGAGTATCTGTAAGCCAAGTACACATCACGAAACGCTGCATTGTGGTAGAAGCCGATGACAGAGGTGTGGCTTGGAACCTGAACCTGTCGCTTGTGCTTCAGAACCTGCTTGATTTGACCCCGAAGCCTAACCCCAATTCTTACCCCCGGGGAGCCCCTGTGCTTGCCGTGACCGTAAGTTCCGTAAGTGTAGAGTCTGAATAACCTGCAAGACGCCAGCACAAGCCCTGAACTTGCCCGCAAGTCCTGCATAAGCTCCCGGGATGCGAAGCGGTGCCCCTCCGACAAGGATCTCTCATTACTCTGCGTCCTCCTCGATGCTCTCTTCAGCCTCCAAGACTTTTTGCTTCCTGGCCCGTTGTGATTCGGAGCTTAATGGACTTGGAAAAGCTTGTAGTCATGATTTCTTTGCGGGGGTGGTTGTCTGGGTGAAGGGTTGAAGAAAGAGCCAGCCCACTTTGGCTTGGAAGTGTGGTTGCTATGTCATAGATGAAGTTCTTCAGCTTCTGACAACACCTTCGCAATCCCCTCACCAACCTCCAAATACAGATTTTCCGCTGTATGGCATTGAAGGGAGAGGTGCCAGCTGCCAGGGACCAACTCTCATAAAGTGCAGCAAATGTAACTCATACTTTACTGCAGAGGCCTTCCAGATTTGACCAGGTCTATTAGATGATATAAGGACTCTTGGAGTATCCTGGATGATAGTATCAAGCATCAGAGCGACAGCAGCCATGGTCGCGCCTGCGGTACTGCGAGCCTGTGATCGTTTTAGCCGCATTGCTCTCGTCTTTCCTGCGCCTGAGTTGGCAAAGACATCTAGCCACCCCTTTGCATGCATACTCTGCTCCCCCAAAGTTCAACATTGTGGCACCTTCGCAAAGCAGGGTACCCTGGAGTCGAAGCAACAATCGAGCAGGTTTCAAAAATTGCTTTGATTTCGGAGAGTTTGGCTAGCTTGCGGATCCATATTCGACCACTTTTCCCATAAAGACAAAGAAGCCAAAAACAAGGGTTTGAGCTGCTATGTGCTGTTATTCATGATCTCCAACCGCAGCAAGAGGACCTCGACGAATGGTGAATGCAACACATCACGACTCAGTTGAAAGGTCTTTTAACTGCAGAGAAAGTGTCATCAGTTTCTCCTGGCATGTAGAAGCAGTAGCAAAGCTGCTCGGCTCGGCAGTGTTTCTTAAGTAGACCTTTACTCCTTCAACTCCAGCTGAGAGCTCCACGGATTGCCGGGCAAAGAGGCGAACATCGGGTCCTCAAGCCTCTCGTCGCCAGAAGGCCTCGTAAATTGAGGCCACAAATTCGCAAGGAGACTATCGGAATAGCAGCTGTTCCCCTGCAGTTCGCTTTGCAATAGTAAACCTACGACGACATAGGCACTACTTGTGCTGTTTTGCTGGTGGTGGCGTGGCACCAGCTCGGGACGTCTCCGTTCGTCCACTCTGAGCTTTAAAGCTCATCTTTGCAAAAATTCGGGGTGGTCGGAGCTGGGGGAAGACGCAAGCATCTTGACGGCACAAACGCTCTAAGCAATGCTCCTAAACCTGCCCAAGTCATCTCTGCCACAATGCGCATCACCCCTCAGGTTCGCACGCAGGTTCTCTGAGAAGCCGGCACTACAAATACTCGAGGTCCGCGTCTGCATTTCATGTGGTTCCTGCACTCTACCGGCTTTGGCGAGCATTAGCAGGCTTGAAGCAGGCTCAATACTTTCGCTTTGTAATGTTCGTTGGTCGGGGGCCGGGGCATGGATCGACGGCAGCACTCTCTGAAGGAGCACGGCTTGATGTTCATCAGGGGTCAACATGTTCGAGTCCGTGGAATTCTGGGCAGATGTAAACATCAAGTTACGAAATCTTATTGCAGGTGGCAGTTAGGCAGTGTACCAACTAAGCCAGATGTTCAGCTGCAAACGTCGCCATGGTTTAGATTCACGATGTTCACAGGCTTGGTGCAGCCGTCATCAAATGATGAGATCAAGTTTAGTTCTGAAAAAAAGACAGACAGCCCTGACTCTCTGTGGAAATTTGGTCCACGAACAGGGATGACAGGGCTGACAACTCTCCACACACCCAAAAGATCCCAAATGGCCCCACGAACTTGGCAGCATTCACCATGCAGGCATGTCGCCACAGCGGCTGGTTTCTCTTGGCACCGAAGCCTTGGCACGGCATTCAGGTCCTGAACCCTGCGTCGTGTGAGTGCCGCAATATGATCAAAGCTGGGATAGTGATAGACACTACTCTGAAATCCCGTCTTGCATGAAAGAAACCAAGGGCTCGGGCCACTTCATGCTGTTGCTAGTACTAGTGCCAGTACTAGCACTGCTCCTGCTAACTCCTACTACTTCTACTACTTCTAC